TATACCAAGTAAATCGTCTGAGATGCATTTAAAAATAATATTCCTGTATTTATGAGCCCTCACAACCCCCTTTATTCCAAAATATTAACATTTGAGTAAGAATAGCAATTGGACAGTGGGGCACTCTGATTACAGGCAAACGGAGGATAGTTATTGTATTTGGAAATGGCACCGTGATCATGACAGGCAACTTTCCAACAACACACGTTGCTAAACTGCTCAGACTTTTTTTCTGTACAAAGTGTGACACTGGGGGTCTGAAATATTATTAACCCTATTGCTAACATCAACACTTTGCAAATTGCGATTTAAAGGATGGATTTTACACATTATTTCAGACAGATTAATAAACCCTCGAAACAGTTTTTTACAAGGAAAACAATAATATGTTAGTGTCCATAAACCCTGATAGAGATTGAGACCCTATAGCACTGGCTGCCGTATAAACACAGATAAAGACAGTTCCTTCCCTGGAGAATCTATAAACTAAAGGAGCTATTCTGATTGACACCAACTGAGGAGGTGGCCTTTGGTGTTAATAGAAGACTGAATAATACTGAATAATAAACTAAGAAGCTACAGCATTTTACAGATCCAAGTTAAGCAGCTTTAAGAACAAGATGTTCATTGCAATGACCTATGCAGGCAAGAACACAAAATCTGTTTAGACATACCTGTTGCTCATGATGAAAAGCGTAGGCAGCATCTCATAGTGGCACGTCTAGCTTGGGAGGCCTGCTCAGAAAAATCCTTCATCAGAACAGCAGCTGTCTCCTTCCTTTGTGCAAATTCCTTTAAAGCTGTCAAAGATCCTGTAATCAGACTAGGTCATCAAACCCAGGCCTTATGAGGGCTGGAAATAAGATCCAGAGATGAGCATTCAGCTGCATGGGCAAGGTCTAAAACACTACAGTTTCCATTGAAATTAAAGGAAGGGACTTTAATTGCTGTGAGAGAAAAGCAAAGCCATAATTGGAAGAGCCCGAAATCTTTCAAGATACCTCCTGAAATGATGCTAGCTGCAAGGCAGGAATCTATGTGCCACCTAACAGAATCTGATAGCAGACCAAAACACTTACTGCAAATCCAACGTAGTTAACTACTGGAGCATTTATCTGTGTGATTTCAGGAAGTAAAGGCAAATTGTAATCTAGATTTCACCATACAGTCGAGTAGTTTTATTATTTGATTAAATAAAAGGGTAATAAGGTAATAAAAACAGATTCTTTTTCTTCTCAGTCTAAAAGCCTGAAACTGCAGTCAATATGTTTAATAATTTGTAGAATAGATTGGAAATAAAGCAATATAATTTGCTTATTTGCCACTGGGAAGTGAAAGTACGATTTTAGTGCCACATTTGTGTATAGGCCTGTGCTAGCACTTCTGCAGTTTGAATAAACCATTTGGTATAAAGAAAGAGAAAATGGGCCAAATTCCTCCCTGGGGTAATATTTATTGACTTCCTAGGACTCAGGAGTTACACCTGGGATGAAAGTGATCTGGTGTGAATAAAGCCATTCTTGACTAAAATTAAAGGGGCCAGGGCCAGTTTATATCAACTGCGAATCTTGCCTAAAGTAGCTGAGCTTTAGTGACAGGGATGAATCTCAGTTGAGTAACCGTGGTTCAGCGAATGGGCCAAAATACATCCTTGTTGCAATTCCATTGTTATAGATGGAGATACAGGAGTGTTTGATTTCAATCTATTTCTGCTCTGCAGGATTTTAAAACCAAACCATCCTAATTTGTGGTTCAGATCCTTGGTTTGTGATAGAAAAATGAAGTACAGGACAGGCACAGCTGGCAAAATCCTTGTCTAGTTTCATTGCCACATAATGCCCTAACTTTCAGCCTTGTGTCTTGCATAGCTGGGTTTGCAGCTAGGTAGGGCAAACCACCCAGCTCCCCGGCCATCGGAAAATGGACTTTCTAAAAGGACAGATGCTGATTACACCGTAATGACTTCGAGTGAAATGATTCTGAAGGCGCTAGGCTTCTCCTGTGGGCATTGGGCAGTGGTGCTGCAGCCTGCCTAAGAATAACACAGCTGCAAGTATTTAAACATTGGGAGCTGCAGAGGGCTTGGGAAAAAAGGAACGATTAGGCAAAATATCCACCATGAACTTCTAAATAGGATAGGCAGGAGGAGAGGCTGCCAAGGCAGGTAAGCAAGTGAAGCCGTGTGTCCCAGGGTGGCTATGGAATGCCTGAAGCAATTAGAGAGATTCCTGTAAAGAATGACCAGGGGACTGTGGGTGCTGGCAGGTATGATGAGGTAACAGGAGGCACAAGAATGCTGGCGGATGATGACTCATGAGAAGATTGCCAGTAGCGTTAACAATAACAATGAATAATTATTAATAACAATTAATAATTTCCACTTATCTGGCCGCTTTTATCTAAAGCTCTTGTGTGCTTTACCACGCTGGATACAAGTTGTTCCTTCCATTTTACAGAAGAAAGACAGAGGCACTAGGCTGTTTAAGTGACTTTCCCAAGGCCACACAGCAAATCAGTAGTTGAGCAGGGAACGGAACCCACGTCTCCTGACTACTTGTCCTCACCTCTTACAAATACACCCAGCCCTCGCTGCGGAGGATTGGTTATATCTACCACTCCTCATGTGAGCACAAGGCAAATGAAAGTTTTACATACTGTGTAGCTCAATGATATCTGGGGAGAGAATATTATGCCTGATCTAAGCTTAAAACTGAGGACCATGTTGCCATAAATCCTCAAGCACACAGAGATGGCATGTGGACACCTTTGCGGTCAGGGATAGCAAAGCGCAGAGGCGGTAACAGCAAGGTGGATCTGAGCATATATAAAGTCATGTACTTGCCTGAGCCCTCCTGCACAGCAACACCCGTCAGAGGCACTGCACGCAAATGAGTCGCAGCGCTTTCTCATCTGTTTATACTGGTGAAGGATGTTTAACAGTCCTGTCAATTGTCTGAAGATCAAGTGGAAAACTGCAGTGCCAGAAAACTAAAAAGGCAGAGCCAATGCAATAAACACAGGGCTCGCTTGACTTTTTCAGGTGTCTAATTATATACATTCAAAATGGCCAGACTACTAAAACCTTAAAGTTGCTTTTTCCTTCCTCCCAGGGTTCAGTCTTCAGCTGATAAAAATATCTTCATTCTCTAGTTCAACAGCCCCTGTGCCACAGGAAGATTTAGTTATTCATTCCTGAATTGAATTTGGCAGCATCCAACATTTCCAAAGCTATAATTATAGCATCTCGCAGTAATAGAAATAGCAATGACCCTCACCACAGTACTGACCCGCCTGCTTTACAACTCTCCTAATCTGTCATGCACACCAGCTCTTCACAGAAACAAAACAACTGCGCAGTGGGGAGAGACTGAAGCTGACATTTTGCATTCTGGCTCTGCGCTCCTGGTCTATAGCTAGTGTCTGATGTATACACCGCTCTTCTGTAGCCCCTCTGGTTATCACACGTCTTGCCTTCTTCTGTACAGTGCCAGCAGTGTTCGAATTCAGCTGCCAAAGCGGTGGAGGGGGAAAGAGCACTTTCATTTATTCTGACATTCCATCATCCTTCAACTAGCAGGGCTCAGCCCTGGCATGGTTCCATGCCCGACTGGGAGAATAGCTGTACTATATGAACTATATAAACTATATAGCGCACGATGGGGAGGGGAAAGGGGGGGAGAGGAATGTGTGAAACTTGTCTCTTGTGTTAATGTTTTATTCAGTTTTGATTAAGGTGGATTTCTAGCCAGATCATGAACTATGGCGCAGCTCGGTTGTCAGGGGAGAGTCGAGACCCCAGCATCAATTAGAGCAGCCAGGAGGGTTGCTTTAATTTATGTGATTGTCCATGGACCCAAGGGGCCGTTTCAGCAGCCAGGGATCACTGGGCATAAGAAAGCCCTGGTCATATCCCATTGTCCCAACCCCTCTGCACCCCGACCCAGACTCTATGCTGGCAGCATAGAGCCATAAGAACCGCTACACTGGTAGTCTACCAACCAAGGATTCCCACATGCTGGAGGATTCCTGGAGTGGCTGGCTAAACTAGTTTTTAGGCAACTTTGAGCTGATGGAATAGTTCAAAGCTGTCCCAAATGTACTGGAGAATGGGACTCTATGAGTTTCATTTAGAGAAACCTAAACCACAAAGTAAATCTCAGCCCAAACATCAAGCTTTCACCAAAACATTTTTCACGCAGTTTCAGCCAAACCATAGATTTCACACACAACCTGACCCAACTGATATATCATAAAGCTGGCTGACAAATTTTGAACTGTGAAATTTCAACAAATATAAACCAAAACAAGATTTTCACCAAAATATTCATGAAATGTTATTTGTTTTGGATTTGTTGTTGTTGTTAGATCCATCATTTATTTCTTGTATGGACAAAACCAAAACCACCCTTGGCTTCAGTGGCTTAACTCCTGATTTACATTGGTTGTAGATGAGAGTAGACTGAGGCCTAGAGGGAAGAAATGATCCCCACCTTTGTTAGAAAATCACCTGAACAAACAGATTTTACCAGTTGTTGCTTAAGCCAGGTTTTGTTCTTTGTAAAATGATTAGCAAGTTGGAAAGCTGGAAAATCAAATAATGTTAATTTCCATTAATTGGCAAAAATCAGATTAGCAATGGATCCGCAGCCATCTTAATTGAATACACCTAAAATACAACTTAAAAAATAAATAAAAAGCAGCTTGTTGAAAGTCAGTAAAATATGCAGCGATTCTGCCCCATGTGAGACTGATAGTTACTACCAACAATACAGTTCATTCCACAGAAATTTTGTAAGCTTAGATTGGTCATCATTTCTTCAAGAAAGGTCAGATCGGTCAAAGCACTTGGGGCAAGAGGAAAAGTAGAACGGTGTTTTTAAAAGAGTACTTGCAAAAGGAGTGATTTTATAGTACTCTCTTAAGACGGAAGGATCTGTGGGTAAAACTCATTGCTGGTGAAACAGGCACAGGGAACCCCCAATAGTTAGGCAAGCAGAGAGCTCGGCATACTGTTTTGCTGCTCAACTCTGTGTTCTTTGGAACTTGTTCTCCTAACCTACTCCTCTCCGCTTTGTCCCCAGGTCACACTCTGTCTGACATCTAGACGGTAAGTTCTCTGGGGCAGAGGTGTTCGTCTTTGTCTAAACAGTCCTCAGCCTTGATGGAGACACCTAATGTAGTAGTAGTAATGACGACGATGGTGATGATGCCAGATTCTGAACTCTGATATGCATTTGCATAAATCCATTGAAGCCATCTTTATATTTTTCACTGTTATCTCAAAGAGTTTTTTTGAATATAAAAGAATCTGTTTCACCCCTTTCCAGGTTTTCTCTTTATTTACCAAAATGTACTGTAGGTTTTCTTCTATGTGTGCCAAAGCTTTCACATTTTCCAGCAGTGTCTTGTATTTAGCTCTAGTTAAGAATAGGTTGCCAAGTGGGTAAAGCGGATTTCTGATTTATGGGGGGAGAGTGCATTATCGGTAAATTCAAGAGACTAAATCTGCCATGGAGAGGACTTCTTTTGTTTCCATCATCAAGTCAGCTATTATGTCCTGTCAAACATTCCAAGGGGTGCTTTTGCTCCAGGCACCCGAAGTAATAACTCAGTTCAGAAATTCCCTGAATGCTAAAGTCTTCATCTCGAAATGCTTTCAGCTCATGTTCCAAACTCAGCATGCAGCAGAGGGGGAGAGAGAGAGATTTCGAGTTAAATCTTTGTCCCTGCTTGTCAACTGGGGTCCCCGTTCTGCAACAGGCTATGAGGTATTCCCATGGAGGTCTCATTGGAGGGCGTTCTCCCAACACTAGTGATGGTGGTTACTGGCTGATGCTGTGTCATCTTAGCTCAGCATTTTCCTCTAGTGACACATTGTCACATATAAACATAACTTTGCAATGTCACAGCATTCTTAGGACTATTTTGTGACTTTCCAAGACATATCCCCTGTCCTATGGCATCAGAAGGGAGTTTGAAAGGGTGTTTCTCCTTTCTCCATTTTCTCCTTAACCTTTCCTGGATGATGGGA